TACTGCTATGAAATCTCCACGGGCCATTTCTTGTGTGGACTTCAGAAGCCGTCAGGACAAGGCCCAGTGCTTGAGTTGGGCGTTGCCAATGAAGCTGTTGAACTTAGAATATTGTTAGGATGGAGGAATGCCTAGATGTCCTCTTGTTGTTGTTAGTTACCATCAAGTTGGCTCCAACTCATGGCAACCCCGTGTATAACAGAATGAAATGTTGCCTGGTCCTGCACCATCTTCGTGATCGCTGGTATGCTCAAGCCCATGGTGTGCCATGGTGTCAGTCCATGTCATTGAGGGTTTGCCTTGCCTTCATTGGCCCTATGCTTTGCCAAACATAATGTCCTTCTCCAGTGATCAGTCCTCCCTCATGATGCATCCAAAGTGAGTTGAAGTCTCAGACAATGTTATGTGATCCATATGGTTTCATTGGCTGATTTTCAGAAGTAGATTGTCTTGCCTTTCTTCCTAGTCTTTCTCAGTCTGGAAGCTCCACTGAAACCTGTCCACCATGAGTGACCCTGCCTGTATTTGAAATACTGGTGGCATAGCTTCTCGCATCATAGCAACATGTAAGCCACCAAAGTACCGACAAACTGACAGACAGGTGGTAGAGACCCCCCTTAGATAGAGGTATTTCTTCAACAGCATTGGGTAATCCTTTCTAAACTAGGCCCTATGAAAAAAAGAAAAAATAGACTTGGCTCCTGCCATTATCGAGTTTTCAGTCTATACCAGATGGGTTATTTATGAATTACCAGATCCAGAGTAGCACAAAAATGGTTCAGATGAGCTTGTATCTTGCCAGCTTGATTTTACTAGTGAGAGTTGCAAGGTTGAGAATCAGAGTGAGAAGGAATGGGTCCTTGTCTCTAGTTACTTGGCAAAGGGCTCAGATTTGTCTCGTTCTAATTTCTCATGATAACTCAGTTTCCTTGAGAACATAGCTAGAAACTTGTTAGAAGCTAATTTTTTCCTTTGTCTTTCTTGAACATAAGTGAAAATTTGTTATGAAATTTGTGAATTTACCTAATGGGCCAGGTGTGGTCTGTGGTGGATCACCATAAGGGGTGGGGGAGAGCTTGAGCCTGATCCCCCATAACGGGTGGTGGAGACATGAAGGATAAGGGAAGAAATGGAGACTCTACTGAATACAGAACAGAGATACTTGGGCCATGCTAGGACTGGGTTACTTTAAAAACAGCATTCAGCAATGTGACTTCTGAGAGAAGAGAGCATTAAAACTCTGTTGTCAACCAAGGCAGTATGCAGAAAGATGTAAAAATGTCTCTAGCTGTCCATCTTCCCTATGTTACAGTGGAAGCTGATGACCTCAGATGGCTAAAGCAATTAAACCTTGTGAAAAGACAGGACCAGACTGGGAAGATGTGACTATGTGTGGTTGAAGGAAGGAGGCAGACAGAATTTCCATTTTGATAAAATGGCTTTACAGTTGCATGCTTTTTTGGGGCAGAAGGTGGTGATGGAGAGAAGGTTGTGGCCTAAAGTGTGACAGACCATGAGCTTATACAAATTTGTACTTTCGTTCCAGAAACTAATTAGAATTTTATTTCCACATTAGCCATTCTGCAGATTGTGCCACACAGAGCTTGCTTGATAGCCAAGTCCCTTGAATGCATTCAGATTCTTTTCCACCATTTTCTTTTCCTTTGAGTGTCTGAACAGTGGGTTCTATCAAAATTCCCAGCCCTGTGAAGTTGTTTCCTTTTCCTTTTTCTCTTCTGAACTTTGTGTGTGCTTTGCCCAGGCTCTCTGCCAGTGGGGCAGGACCTTTGTCCTTTTACTACATGTGGAATCACATGGATACCACTCTTGCCTCTGGTAACCTGTTTAGGGCACTGAGTTAGTGGGTCAGTTGCAGGGCAGTGTCCTTACCCCAAGACTTGGACAAGATAGAGCACCTGTGTCTCTGAAAGCTGGAAAATGCAGGCAATAGAGAGGTTTGGAGGAAAGGTTGGTGATGAGTTCTGGAAGTTTCCTTCACTGAGAGATAGACAGCAAGTAAGGAAAGAGAGGAAACTCAGGTTGCCTGGATTAGATGGTTTTATAATGAATAGATTTCTGAGATTGGGCCTAGTTTTTCTTGGGCTAGCGTAGCCTTGTCACAGGACATCACAAAAATGGAATATGGCCCAGAGAGATTAGTTCCTCTTAGAGGAACTCCTTGGAGACTAGGTAAAAGGTATGGATATGACTTTTGAATAATTTTGGCGCCATAAGGAACTAAGAACCTTAGATAGCGTCCACAATGCTTTACAGGTGAAGAAGTGTGGAGAGATTGCAATAGCATAATTTGTCCAAGGTCATAAAACACACTAAAGGCAGAGTTAGGATGAGGACCTTGGTCTGCTGGCTGCTTGCTTGGCATGCTCTCCTGTACTCTGCCACCTTTGTAGGGGGACAAGATCTCATCACCTTTCACACCAAACCAACCCACTTGGCCACGAAAAGCCACTTCTGCCAATTGTCAGGCAAATCTGTTTGCACCCAGCGAAAGGCAACAGGCTTACCAAGAAAGTGTTCAGCAGGCTGAGAGACAGGGATTTGATCTAGAACCCCTAGGAGGAAGAAATGGGAACCCAATGTAGGGAGCTTAGCCTGATGGTGGCTCCTGAAATCTGAAGACTGGTCACTCTAGAAACCATTTGGAAAATAAATCCAAGTAGGTGTTTGTCCTCCCATTTCTCCTGACAGCCTTCCCTGAGAGGTGGGCATTCCTGGAAGCTAACAAATCACCAACGAAGAAAAGGATGAAAATAAAATAAAACTGAAACCTATTTCTAGATCTGATCATGAACGTGTGCAAGTGATTCACCTACTGAACCATTTGTGAATAGAGCCTTTGCCGCCCCATAGAACATCTCTTAGAAGAGCAAACGTCTGTCATGTCTGGGCAAGTGACAGGAATACTCACTTATCGTGTGCATATGTGTCTACACACACATGCACGTACACTCAGATGCCTGGATGCATGTTTAAAAACATGCTTTGCCCAAGAAGTTATTAGTACATGCCCCCGTGCCCAGCATTGTGAAATGTATTTAGACTTAAGACTGTTGAGTTAAAATGTTCTGTACTGTTAATATTTCTCAACTTGGATAGATTAGCCGTGGCCAGGAGTAAGATAACATGGGGGTGGGGTGCACTATGATGTTGTGGACGAGCGTGTGTGTGTCTGTGTGTATGTGTGTGTGTTTGAGAAATCATTTTGCTTTTGACAAGGGGTTAGAGGTAAAGCCATCAAACAAAACAAAATGATTGAGAAAGAGTTCTGTGGAGAGAGGAGACTGAGCGTGACCGCTATAAAAAGGCTTGCACACAACTGGATACTGTATGCTGTCTTCAGGCCTCTGTGGCCCTAAGGAGACCCAGCCGGGGGCACCACATGGTTTTGATGCCCTGCTGGGTTCTAATTACGGGATTTGGAAGGTAGTGGCAGTGGGTGGCTCGGTTTTGTTTTCATGATTTGGGCACCAAGGCCCAGATCTGGACACTGCCGGCTTGAGTGTATAATGATACTCTGTCTCCCCACTCGTGTTTTTATCTGATATCAGCACCAGCTCTCCAACCTTTTACTCTGGTCTTAACATGTCAACATTCTCATTACAAGAGGTTGTTTGCTCTGAGAGGGCCTATCTTCTCTCCTACTTGGCCCTTTACCCTCAGATCTGCGTCTGGCTGCAGTTGGCCTGCCCTGTTCCTTGGGGCTGAGGGAAGTTGTGGGCAAGGCTCAACGACTGGGTGGAGGTGGAGGCTGGCTCTGGCAATGGCACATAAGAGCCTGAGAACAGGAGTGTGGGTGGGAAGAAAGTCAGTGTTCCAGGCCAGATGGCCCACACTCCAGCCGGCAGCGCAGAGCCGTGCCCAGACCCTCTTCCCGGCGCTCGCGCTCACCTCCTTACTTGTTTGCCTGCTGCTCTGCATCTTACTGGCTCCATTGCTGGCTCATGACTTAGCAGGGTGTCTGGTGAGAAAGGCCCTGGGTTGGGAGTCAGTTCAAGTACTGTCTCAGGCTGGATCTGTGACCAGTTGTTACTGGGCCTCTATCTCCTTAGGGATGATAACATGTGCTCAACCCACCTCACAGAACTGGGGTGATGGTGAAATAGATAATGCACATCAAGTGTTTTGGAAAATCAAATGGCTATGACCATCTTATGTTTGTAGAAGGATGTTACCTGGTTTCTTTAAACCCTTTCTTATGTCAGGGCTCAACCTCTGACAAGACATATAGGGAAGACACTTGTCAAGCTGGGCCTCGGGAAGGGGGCGTGTTGTGGAATCACTGCAGTTCTAAGAACACCTGGATGCCCTGAGAAGGAGCATCTTGTGTCCGTAAATACATCCATTCATTAATAAGCTTATTCAGAGCCTACTGTGCACCAGTCCCTGTAGTGGGAGTCAGAGATACCAGGGAGAAAATACAGATGCAGCCCTCCTGGGTCTAACCATTTAGCAGGGAGCGAGGCGTATGAACGCTCACAGTGCAGTAAGGGCAGTGCTGGGACCAGGGTAAGCGTGGGCCTGGTGGACCCCATATAGGGTCTGTGCAGGTTTGACAGTGAGCTCCGTAGGCTATGACCTTTTGGAAGCAGATCACCAAACCTGTCTTCCGAGGCAACTTTTGGTGGATTTAAACCTCTAGCCTTTCGGCTAGAAGTCTAGTGCTTCACCATTGCACCACACAGGGACTCTGGTCTCACATGTAAAAGTGGGTAAAGCAGTAGGAAGTGTCCTGTTATTCTAGTTCTCGTACAAGACCAGGAATGGATGCTTCTTTGGCAGTGATCCATGGGAAAGGGGGCAATTTAGGCTGTCTGAGGGTCCAGGGATGTACGTCCATCGGTGCCCATCTCCAACATCCATGCCCTCCATCTCCCTTCCTTCCGTTCGTCTGTCTGAGAGGTGGCTGTAGAGCCCCAGGGCGAGCACCTGCATTCTGTCCAGTCAGAGCAGCAGCAACCTGTCTTTTCCTTTCCCTACAGGAAGCTGCACAGTGGGATGAAGACATACGGGTGTGAGCTCTGCGGAAAGCGCTTCCTGGATAGTTTGCGACTGAGAATGCACTTACTGGCTCATTCAGGTAGGCAAAGATGCCCTGATGGGCCCATCTGGGTACAGGAAACCACCTCCCGTCCCCTCCGACCCCACACTCAGAGCCTGCTGTGCCATGGATGTCCCCACTGCTGGCCGGGCCCTTGGTCCACCTTGTCTTGTGGAGTAGTTGGCCAACCTGGATGCTCCTTCCAGGTTCATGGAGCAAAAAGGCCATCCTGACTGTGTGACTGTCCGGATAAACCCATTTGCATGCTTCTGGGTTTCCCAGGGCATCGTTGGCACCCAGTGACCTGTGTGATCTACCTTCCAAAGTAGACTGTAGTTTCATTAGCGAAACAGTTGTGGAATTAGGTTCTCACTGTCTAATGAATCTGACTATTGGGTTCACATTATACAGGAGCCTTTAATTAAATAGACACAGAAAGGTTAGAACACAAAGCTAGTTATAGCATGCCGTTTTTTTGTTTTTTGTTTGGTGGTGGTGTTGTTTTTTGCAAGTTAATTTTATCCAATTCTAGTGGGGTTGGCTGTGTGGCTGCTGGTATTTTTGCCCATGTTTTGACTGGAGGATGCAGGCAAAGCTGCTTTGCCCCATGAGGCATGGAAAGGGGAGAGGTGCCTGCCATACAGCATGCCCAGCAGTCCTCAGTGGAGAGAAGGATGCAGCAGGCCTAATGCTGCTGCTTCAAGGCTAAGGGGTTGCGGAAGCCTCTCCATTTCCCTGCCAGGGGCAGTGCCCTCTTCTTTCCAGTTCCCTTGCTTTCAACCTTGGAGTCACTCTTTTAGGGAAGGGAGGAAGGGTTGTCTTCTTGAAAGCTGATCAGAAGAGGGAAAAATGTGGAACAGAATTTCATACTCTCAGGGGATTCTAGACTTTCTGGAGCCTTTGAGGCTGGAAGAACCCTGAAACTGTTGCCCTGAGATAATTTTTGAACTTTAAACCTTAAACCAAAACTATCCCCTGAAGTCCCCTTTGAACCAAAAAGTAGTTTATCTTAACAAGTACATCTTCTTTGAGCATCATGGTCCTTTAAAGAATTATCTATGTGAGATCAAATTGACAACCATAACTCAAAAGATTGGATGAGATGCTTAGGGGCAGTGAGTTTAAGATAATGGTGGTGGAATAATTTGGAAAAGGATAATGAGAATGGTAGCACAACTTGAAGAATGTAGTCAGTGTCACTGAATAGTACATGTAGAAATTGTTGAAATGGTGTATTTTGGTTGTGTATACTTCCACCAAAAAAAGGGGGGGGGGCAGTTATCTTCTTATTTGATCTTGCTCTTCTCTCATGTACTCAACTGCCAGACTCTGCAGGTTCTTTCCCTGTGTGGCCTCAAACATCTCCTTGGCAGGCAGTTTAGCATTTATGAAGAGGGCATAGGTTTTGGGGTTAGACAGATTTGGGGTTCAAATCCTGTTTGCAATATGTGCTGTGTGACCTCAGGTAGATTTATCTTCTGAACCCCAGTTCTGCATTTGTAAAGTACAGGTATGACTAAACTCATACAATTTCTTCTTTTTAGGATTAAGTGAGAGGATATATGTTAAAGGCATGCATACATAGCATAATCCCTGGCATACAGTTGGTATTTTATAAATGTCAATTGCTTTTGCTTCTACCTTCCTCCCTTTTCTGCACTTCTGAAGCTGTCACTCTGGGGCATGTTCCCATTGTCTTACTCCAGAAGCTTCTGGTCTGGCTGGCTGTTTCCACTCTGCCCACACCCTAGCGCATCGTATGTACAGTCATGTAAATGCTATTGGGTAGTTTTTTATGCTTCCGCTTGCCACTGCCTTGCTGTAGGTCCCTTGTTGGATGTTTGTCTTCCCGGCCTTTGTGGCTTTTATTAAAGTGCCCTAACTACTCCCCCTCTCTTCCCATTCTTCCCTCTTCCAGATCCAGAGACCTGACCACACCGGGTGCTCTCTGATCGCCCTGTCCCAATGTCTTGGTGCGTTCCATGCCTCCTTCCTGTGGAGTCTCCCATGCCTTGCTCCACTGAGCCACGTCCATTTGCCCGCCAGCCTCACCCTGGCCTGGAGTCCTGAGCTCAGTCATCCCTGTGTTTGACATCTCAGTACTCACTTACTCTTTGTGTTCTGTTTTAATAACTCACGCCTTGTACCTTCTTCAGCTTTGCTCTTTGTTTAGAGTTCAGTGTGTGGTTTGAACCTGCTCCCCCAACCCGAGAGCAGAGTCTGGGTCCTCCCTGCTCTCTCTAACCATCTGGTGCTGGACACTTAGATGGCGGTAATACACTTTCAGCCTGTTGTCAAAGCTCCCTTGCCCTCTCTGTAACTCAGTCCCAGTGAGCATTATTTCTCATTGCTCAGAGCTCAGTGGCTTTTTCACTGCATTCCTGCTGCCTGAATAGCCCTTCTCCAGTCTTCCCATATCCAGGTCTTCCCAGTCCCTTCCACAATGCCATCCCCATTGCTTCCCACCTCCAGCAGGAAGTCGTCTCGTGCCTTCCTCTGGGTGCCCGTATTCCTTTATCTGATGTTATCTTTGGGCACAATCTTTCTTGTCTTACAGTTATTTACGGACTTGTCTTATCTCCCCTACTTGGGAGGCAGGGTGATAGAGTGGGGGTAAATTTGGGCACCCACCTCCAGACAATGTGATCTTGGAGAAGAAGCATAACCTCTCTGAACCTTAGTTTCCTTGTCTGTGAAATGAGAACACTTGTGCCCACCTCAGAGAAGTTGTGAGGCTCAGATCTGGTATATAAGAAGCTTTCAGTATATGTAATTTCTCTTCCCCTCTCTTCCTCTAAGAGATGATAAGCTACGTGGGGACAGACTCTCTCCCTATGAAGACCAGCACACTACCTGGCACGTTGTTGGAGTCAACAAATATTTGTTGAGTGTAAACTGCAGGTGTTGCTAACATAATTTTTTTTGAGGATTAAGTAAGAGAGTATGGGTTAACAACATACATAGCACAGTCCCTGGCATACAGTTGGTGTTTAATAAATGTTGATGGCTTCTGCTTCCACCTTCCTGGAAGTCTACAGGATCCCTGCAGTCTCCTGCCTGGTCTCTCCTGCAAGAGGAGCTGTTTAGGCTCTGTCCCCAGGCTCACTGGGGGGCAGCCGGGAGCCCGCTGGCCCATGTCACACCCCTCTTCCTGACAGTGTGGCCAACTGTCTCCTCTGTGTACTCCTTCAGCAGTGTTGGTGGGGGTGGGGAGGGACAGGTAGAGAGGAGAAGAGCTGCTTACATGTTTTAGGAGTCCCCAGTTCAGACAAGACGAGGGACTTTGCACTCCTACACTGTGGAGCCTGAGGTTCCCTGGGGAGGTGCATTTAGGACCCAACTGAGATGCCACTTGAAGCCCCCATGGTCTCATGGGAGTTTTTCCTTTCAGTGCCTGTCTTTTTGGGTACTGAAGGCTGGTTGTGCCAAATAATTTGTCCTTCTGAAGTTCATTTGCCAATGCCCTTGTGAAGGAGGATTTGCTGATGGGGGAGGTATGCTGAGTCATAATACTGTTTTCATGCACCCTTGCAGATAGCTCATAGCCTGGTATTTCCACTCTCTATTTTTTTCTTTCTATCGTGCTGCATACCTCACACCTCTGTGCTGGAATGACTTGAAAATAAGATAGCATGAAAGGGCTCTGTGAGGCTAGGACACTTCCTGAATGGTTTGACCCCTTGTTAAACAGGGAGGGCCCTGGGGCCTTGTTGGGAGTTAGGGTCTGAGGGCTGGGTTGGTGGTGCCAGGTTTTCCTTCTGATTCCAGAAGCAAAAGTCAGGCTTTACACATTCTGATTCCTCCCCCAGACGCCTGATAACAGACTGATGCCATGCGTTAGAGGAGACCTTTAATTAGATGGCAGAAGGTCTTGCTGCTCCGGTTCCATGAGATGAAGGCTCCATGCAGGGAGCTGAGAGCAAGAATTGTCCCTAAAGGACTGTAGTGCAGACCCATTTTACAGAAGTTAACCAAGAGTTGGAGGAATAGCAGTGCAGAGTCTAAGAGAACAGTAGTTGCTCCAGAACCTGGGGGACCATTTTTTAAAAAGGGGGAGCCTGTGGAGAAGTGAGTCCGGGGACTGGGTAGGGGTAATGGGTCCTCCTGGCTTCCCCCGAGTGTTTTCACTGCCCTTGCACAGGGCACATTCCTGCTGTTTTCTTCTGCTCAGCAGAGCTGAACGGCGCTCACTTCCTTGCTAGCTCCGTGTGCTGGCTCCCCACCCCCCTTTTGGCGAGCACTGCCTGTGTTTGTTATTGTAGTTCTGGCAGTGGGCCAGGCCTGGCTGGGCGCCAGGCTGTGGGTACAGTATGTACAGTGAGTGCTGAGCCAAGTTTGTCATCATACACGATTAATTTTTTTTTTTTTTCTAATCTGGTAGGGGTGGGGTGAAGGAGGAGGCTAGCGGAGTTTTTCCAATGCTTGAGAATAGGACGCATTGAATTCCGCGGAGATGTGATTTCTGAAAGGAATAAAATGTTCGAGCTTGTTTTTCCTTCTCGGCTTTTCCTCCTCACTCTCCTTTTCTTCCTCCTCGTCTTCCTTTCCCCGTCGGTCGGGTGAGATCAGCCTATGCGAGATCTACAACGTGAAGACTTTTTTTTCAGGGTCTAGAATACTAAGTTTACGCTCCTGAGTCAGTTTGCATTGTGTGGAAATGGACAATTTGTTTAATTAGAAGTTTGCCCTGTAGGAGACCCTTCTTAGAGACAGTGCTTTCTCTTTTTCTCCCTCTCTCCCTTTTTTTTTAAGTTTTTTTTTTCCTCTATTTAAGACCCTAAATGGTAGAAGTGAATGTTCAGTTTAATTGAAGTTTTTATTTCTGTTTGAATGTGTTAACTAATCCAGTGTTTATGAGATATACCGGATGATAACAATAAGTTTAAATTAACTAACAGTAACCTAACTCATTAACTAATGAGGTTGATCTGGCCATACACTGGTTCTTAGAAGTGGTTCTTGGGGTCAGGAGCGTTTGAGTATTGAAAAGAGGCTTGGGGTGGGAAGAGAGATAACCTTGGGTGCTTTGCAAAGCAGGC